AGGCCCATTTTCGTTGCGTAATATGGCCCATTAACATTTTTATGTTAAGGGAAAACTACAAGAGAAGAAAACAAAATCTTCACGCAAAATGGCCACTTTACTTTAATAATCAGAAGAAAAAAATATTCCCACTTAGTAACAGAAAACAGCGTCATCATTCATTGCTACTACAATCGAAATCAAGCAGAGTCATGAATGAAACTAGCATTTGATAATACGTCTGTGGCCCACCTCAAAATAATTTTGTGGCCCAGCAGGAGTGGGCCATGGCCCATTGGTTGAGAACATGTGGCCTAGATGAAACCCAAATGTCACACCAATAATAATGTTATCTTATCTTCAGCATTTGTTTTTTCAAATCAAAAAACAACAACACTACAAAAATAAGCAGATATAATTGATGTAATCCGTACACATAGCTGAGCAAACATTTATTTTTAAAATTCAGAACAATATAGTTGTTCTGTTGCCCGGCTGTTCTGTAAAATGCCACTCCGACCGTTATGGCAATTAAGATGGATCAAGAGAGGAACCAGGTTTACTCTTTGTAGAAATTAACGGTGCATGCGTAATTAACATGCAGTGAATATTCAATAAAGTCAATTGAAATACACCAGGTAACCAAGGCCAAGGCTTAGGCTACATAAATTATCAACATAGTAAATTCAACAACAAAAATGGAAAATACATTCTCATAGTCAAACTACTGGAAATTTAACAGTTTTAGTGTCAAACGAGATAAGCAATGCGTCTCAAGCGGCAACAAGCCCCTTTGAACGGATCCACCTACAAAATATCCCAAAACAGAGCAGCACAAGATATAAACGATCGCTACTGGGTGTCCAGAATTCGAAAAATAAATTACTTGAAACGAGACAGGTATACTATCATATTCAGTCTAATCATATTGCCTGTCAGATACTTAGTGTACATCATGCAGTGGGTAAGGTAAACTAACGAATTACCAGCCACATTTTCCAACCTTTAAACTCAGAAAATCTTTCTCATACTGTATCATTACAAAATATTATTGTTATATTGTTAGCGTTTCCGCTACTTGGCGCTCACAAACTAAAGCACACGTAAATAATCAATTAATTTCAAAATATTTAGCAACTTGGTATTGAAAAGTACCGGCAGTTTATTTTAACCTATAGTCTATCCCAGCTTTAAGATCGTTTTTGATTATAAACTGCAACACTCCTAGAGACAAAATAACCAACAATCTATTTTAATTACGCCCAAATGTTAGAAACTCGACTGAATAATGACCCAATACTAGTCGAAACTGTGAGAACGAGTCAATAATTAAACCGAGGTTGAAAATCTGTCTGAGCAACATAAGTGTCTAGGAGGCTTTCATCAAGTGGTGAGATTCATACGGTTCGCACCGGTTCTATAGAACCGTCTCACGGAATTTCATGAGATCAGCAAGCCGACTAGCATTATTGGTTACTGTTAATGTTCTGTTTGTAAGAGAACCGCCTGACCACAGTGACTTTTGTGAAGAAACCGGCTGACAAAAAAATTGAATCTCACCACTGCTTTTAACTGTTAAGCTATCATTATGTTATCGACGGCTGTTATGACTATGAGCAAGAAAGTAATGAAATGATCTTTCGTAAAAATCTTCGGCCACCAGTCAAAATAAACAAAAAAAATATTTAGCCAGTTAGGGTTACAATGAGGGTTAGAAATGCAGATTGCTCTGCAAACCCGAACCGTAATAAGATGATTAATAATTTTTCATTTTTAAAACATGGGGGGGGGGGGGGGGGGGGGCGTTAATCTGACAGTTTTTGCAAAAGTGACGGGGGCTGAGGGTTATCGCATTAATTTATAATAGCAATTTGTATGATGTGAAAATAATGATATAAGTCGGTTTTAAGAACCATCAAATTATAATCGCCAAAGTAGCGGTTCAATTTCGAGCCTTGACAGAAAAAGTTTAAAAAAAAAAAGATTTTTTCATCAATCACCATAATAAAGATCACCACATGATGCGACTTTTGTACGTACTAAATTAAGTCGTTTATTGGGTTTAAGTGTTGTTGACCTACCGTAAGTTTTGACTTCGAAAGACTTGTTTGTGTCCATATATATCATGAAATATACGAGTTGAGTTTTGTTCTGTAATCTGTGTTCCTAATCCGATACTTCAAGATCTATTTTTCAATGATCTGCCTGATAAATAGCTTGAATGGATTTGTTTACAATCCGAGCATTATCCATACAAGTGTGACGACCCTTGTTTTGCCTGTTAAATGACTTCATGTAATATGCTTCCATATTTGGTATTCTAGGACCCTTGTTTTATCTGTTAAATGACGTCATGTGATATCGTTTCCATATTTGGTAGTCTAGCAGTTTAGACGCTGCGACACGGTCGATCGGTTCTCTGGGGCAGCGTGGTCTGTTGGTGTATGCTGTGCCTGTGTGTGACAGAGTGCAGTCGTCTGAGTGTTTCGGTTAGATTGGTGGGTTTTGAATGTCTGTGTGAATGCCTCTGGTCTTCAGGGATGTTTGTCTGTGTTGTGTGACTGTCGGATGTTTTGTGCTGGACAGTGGGTTGACGTAGGGACCATGTTATTGTTTTTACCAGTACAGTGCCATTACAGTTCATTTACCGTAGTGTTGTATTTTCAGTTTTATCGTGGAATTAGCTTTCATCAGTATTGTTCAAATGTTGTGCACCTATAGAATTGTTCATAGTTTTTTTAAATGCCTGTCATAAGTTACTTTCGGCCTGTTTTGCAAATTGCAGTAGCTAGTTCATTGTACCAGATTCTAGGAGTCATTTGGTTTTTTATTCAGAGTTGTCTTGGATTTCAGGGTTGGTCAGTGTTTTTGTTGTGTATGTGGTTTTTCTTGCATTTTACTGCCTGGTATCTGTTATTTTTATTTTATGCTTTTCGTTCCTTTGGGGAGTGTTTGGTTGTTTTGGATCGTTTACTGTTCGAGTTGTTAATAAATGACATAAAATAGCATAAAGACTTGGACTATTGAGAGAAAACTTGACGTCAGATCATATTAGAAGATATTCTGAACCTGGATAATTATTTCATACATTGCCGGTACGCTACAATTTTTGGCGAGAGCACGCCAGGATATTTTCTATGAACTGTGATTTTTTTTCTCTTACTTGGACTAATGGATGATATGTCAAGGCTCTGGTCAATAACGTGCCTGTTTTGTTTTTGATTGATACCGGTGCGGGTGTCTGGCTCATTGACACCGCTGTTTACTCGACGTTGCAGGAAGATTCGAACTTTTCGGGGCTGCATCCTGTTCCAGTGCCACTCCGTACTGCCGGTTGCGAGTCATTGGTGTCTCATGGTGTACTTGATGTCAACCTGACGATTGAAAGCTGGTCTGTGGAGCATACAGTTGTGGTCGCCGATCCAGGGTCACGTGCGGGTGTCTCGCTCATAGACACCGCTGTTTACTTGACGTTGCGGGAAATTCGGTCGGGTGTCTCGCTCATAGACACCGCTGTTTACTCGACGTTGCAGAAATTCGGACATTTCAGAACTGTATTCTTTTCCAGTACCATTGCGTACTGCCAGTGGCGAGTCGTTAGTGTCTCATGGTGCACTTGATGTCAACCTGACGATTGAAAGCTGGCCTGTGGAGCATACCGTTGCCGTCGCCGATCTAGGGTCACGGATGGACTATCTTGGCAATTCGTCGCATCGTTTTGTTCTTGAGGGACAGGATGTTAAGGGTACAGCACCAAACAGCTTCTCCCTGCTGTCATGGACTATAGTTGAAGATGTGGTTATACCGGCCGCTCGGGACTGGGTGTACTAGTTCAGCTACAGCAGCCTTGGCCGTCCGGAGATCTAACATAGTAGCCGTTGTTGAGCCAGTGGAGATATGCAGCATCAATTTGGTCGCTTCGATGACGTTTGTGGACTCAATCCAGAATGACAAACTTTACGGATGTGTAAGCGTGAGCATGGACACTCTGTGTATTTTAAGGACATTCGTGGACATATTTTGTTTTGACTACTGCTTTTTTGTGGTTTGGATCTTTTTCTAGAGATGAAAACATCCTTTCATAATGTTTCATCTAGAAGAGGGGGGTAATGTGACGACCCTTGTTTTGCCTGTTAAATGACTTCATGTAATATGCTTCCATATTTGGTATTCTAGGACCCTTGTTTTATCTGTTAAATGACGTCATGTGATATCGTTTCCATATTTGGTAGTCTAGCAGTTTAGACGCTGCGACACGGTCGATCGGTTCTCTGGGGCAGCGTGGTCTGTTGGTGTATGCTGTGCCTGTGTGTGACAGAGTGCAGTCGTCTGAGTGTTTCGGTTAGATTGGTGGGTTTTGAATGTCTGTGTGAATGCCTCTGGTCTTCAGGGATGTTTGTCTGTGTTGTGTGACTGTCGGATGTTTTGTGCTGGACAGTGGGTTGACGTAGGGACCATGTTATTGTTTTTACCAGTACAGTGCCATTACAGTTCATTTACCGTAGTGTTGTATTTTCAGTTTTATCGTGGAATTAGCTTTCATCAGTATTGTTCAAATGTTGTGCACCTATAGAATTGTTCATAGTTTTTTTAAATGCCTGTCATAAGTTACTTTCGGCCTGTTTTGCAAATTGCAGTAGCTAGTTCATTGTACCAGATTCTAGGAGTCATTTGGTTTTTTATTCAGAGTTGTCTTGGATTTCAGGGGTTGGTCAGTGTTTTTGTTGTGTATGTGGTTTTTCTTGCATTTTACTGCCTGGTATCTGTTATTTTTATTTTATGCTTTTCGTTCCTTTGGGGAGTGTTTGGTTGTTTTGGATCGTTTACTGTTCGAGTTGTTAATAAATGACATAAAATAGCATAAAGACTTGGACTATTGAGAGAAAACTTGACGTCAGATCATATTAGAAGATATTCTGAACCTGGATAATTATTTCATACATTGCCGGTACGCTACACAAGGAAAGCATTTTTATACAAGGTAAAACAATTCTGGAGCATCTAAATTGAAAAACGCTTAACAGTTGGATGTATGAGAATACATTAAAGGTAGAGCGGTAGATCGCTTTATTCTTATTCGTGTTGGAAAGCAGAAGAAGCGCGCTCGGTGCACGAAAATGAAATTGCTACTTTGGTGTTCGGTTTTTTTTGGCATTGATTTATCTGTCATCTACGTAAGTAATTAAATTTATTTTTTACTTTTTTATATGAGGGTTTAAACTCTTTTCAGTCTGAGCAACCAGCATCTTCTAGACCAGGGGTGTGTAACATTTTAACGGCGGGCCATATAATCAACGTCAGACATCTAGCCGGATCCTACAAAACAAATAGTGGGAAAGGCATGAATGCGCCTATCGCTCAGACTAAAGATTTAACGCAGCGACAAAAGCAAAAAAAAAAAAAATCATCCATGTGAGCGCCTTTTCAAACGAAAACTGTCGGATTAGGAATTTATGCTTGATGGGGGAAATATTGAGTGTCGATAAGGGCCATACTAAATAGCTTGGCGGGTCGTGTCATGGCCCGCGGGACGCCTGTTGCACACATCTGTTCTAGACAGAGAAGAGTTACTATTTTTAAATGTTTTGGAATCTTCTCAGAATCTTATATAACGTACAAGGTCTTGTATGAGCGACCACTGTTATCTAAGGTTGTTGCTTTGTTTTGAAAAAGCTGGAATTTCTGGCATCGCTTTGCGACTTTATTTCACTCTGCAGTTATATAGTTATCATTGAATTTTAACGTGCCATGACAATACGCTTAGATTTAACGATTCAACCACTAGTTTAAGTTAGGTCTAACCATGCTGGTTTTTCACGCTTTAGAATTTTTAATTCAAACCCATGTCCACCACTTCACTCGTAATTGGGTGGGCAATTTCAAACTAAAAAAATCATCTTTTTCGACGAAATAGTATCGCTATGCGTTTCAGACTCGTCAAGTACTTACTTGTCTAGAGTGCTAATGCCTTAAAAATACGTATATATGTTAATATTTATCCTGAATACTGCATAAAAAATAACATTTACGTGGGAGACACATAATTAAAATAGTTTATAGAGTATTTATCTGAAAATAAGACATATAGCAAGTCACTATTATGCGGGTGTCCATCTCTATTATACAGTATAAATATATGCATAGTTAAACAGTCTTCCATAGCATATTAAACTCAATTAGTGTATTCAAAAACATTTCATCATGACTTGGTACACCTACTCTCTCTCATTGTGACACTGTTTAGTTTAATTTCTGTTATTTTGTTTTTCTATTTTTGACAGTGCTACGATTGGAGAAAGACAAAAACCTGCAGAAGGTAAAGTATTACAATCAATTAGTATAATATTCGGCGGATTGCCACATTATATCATTTGCTATAAACTAGGGAGCAGAGCCTAACTATAGCTATGAGAAGACATACAAAATCAATTAGAAATATTTTACTGATGGCAGTATATAATTTCAACTTCGACTAGTGAATTCGGAAAGAGCCAGCTCCAGCTCGCAAGTCCAGAGTTGTTTCATAGCCGAGCGTTGCACTATATTTTCAAAATTTAAAAAGTTTTAAAATATAATATTGTTGGTTGGAAGAAAAATTGGTGCCTTTTAACCATTTATAAATATGAATGAAGGCTTACCGTTACGTAAATATGTTTCAACAATGTAAACTTCAACAAAACAGTAATTCCGTAAATGTGGTAAAATAGAAATTAGGGCTTTAATTGGAGCTCCAGAAATATGTGCTTCATCAACCTGATAATCTGGTACAATACTATGTTCAGGTTGGGCGCCACTCTGGTGCACATACTTCGGGAACACCCTTTAATCAACAGTAAAAATTGAGTTGTTGTTTTCATTTTAAAATTATAAATTTGCTCATTTAAACTTTATTCAAAATTTTTACTCTTTCAGAATATAGCAAGACTATCCGCCGCAAAAGAGGACTCTTTGATGATATTTCAAATGCAGTGGGAGGAGGATTTAGAAAAATATATGAAGGTAGCAAATGGGTCGTGAAAGCTATGAATAAAGCATATGAACATACTCCAATTGGAATGCTAGACAAGGCCGTTTCCAACTCGAATACTGCATTAGGAAGATATTGGAAAGCAACGAAAAATGAAGCAACTGAATTTGCACTGCATTATGCTGCGGCAATATGAGTTGAAACATAAAAACATAGCGTTGCGTATTATCAAAACTGTCAAAAGTTACATATTCACAAATGTTTTGTGTTGTTCGTTTTATACTCACATTTGAGAGAGCATTTGAGATAGTCATTGGAAATAAAGTTTGTTTCTGAAAACTTGAGGTTGCTGTATCGCTGAAATTCATCGTTTGGGTGTCGCTGCTGTATATATAACCAGCTTTGGTTCCCCGCGGCTTTCTTTCTCCAGTAAAACTGTGTCATTTCTCGTTTTTCGAATATTGTATGATTGTTTCTTCACTGATTGGAAAAAAATAAACTTGACTTGTTTGGAATATAAATCGATTCATTGTTCAACTTGAGATCATAATTAAGACCCTTCTAGAGCTAGGGTTCCAAAACTGGGGTACATGTATCCCCAGAGTTATATTTCAAAAGGTACATTAAGTATCAGGATATTCTTTCTATCAATTTAATTCTGCTTCGGAATATTTTCCACAACTGTTGTTAATACTTCGCAATGCAGGCACATTCATCACATTAAAATTATCAAGTCGATATATTGTAGTGTTTGTTTAAGCTTGGATTACTTCATGAATAACCCTGTGCGCTTTGATTAGTATTAATCATGCAGCTTTTCATATTAAACTAGAATAATCAAAGTCTTCAGAAAATTTAGAGGAAAAGAGTATCGATGAACAAAAGTTTGTTCTAGGGCAGGGGTGGGCAACACTTGGCACTTGAGCTCATTTATTCGGCACGCGAGCGAGACCTCGGAAACGTGATCATTCTCCTTCAGATAAAAAGTTTCAAGACTCTGAATTATGTGATGAAACCAGGTGTTCGTTCATTCATTATCGTTTGTTTAACAAACCGTTATTCAAACTCTTTTCGTACTTTCATGACATATGGCTACAAAAATATATTATGACGTAACAAATGAGTAAGCTCTCGAGAAATTTTTGTCGAAAAGGGCGCAGCATTCATTTGAGTACATTCTTACGTAATATAGTTCGTCTGTGTCACCCTTTTACTTCATTTCTGCTTGATTTATGAAGTTGTACAGCTCATGTTGGTTAATGTCACTTGCTAACTCACTGTTATGAATTGATTTCGGGAGCAATATAAGCGATTAGTAAAGGGAATACAAGAGAGGAATGCAGAAAACGAACGATTGCCTTATTCGGATGCCATTCCCGAAAATTCTTCGTGTCTTAAAAACTATGCAACTGCATTACTCTCCATGTTTTCATCTACATATGCTTGTGAATCTCTGTTCTCAGTTATCAAGTCTCGTAACATAGACTTATCTGGAGAGACAAAATCCCTGACAAAATTGTTATGAGCCACATTGGCCAATTTTGCAACCAAAACGCTTACGGTATACCGTACTGACAAGTGTCTGAATGCGAAGCAATCCGTGTTGCACAAAAATGCTAAAATGTGACATATGCAATATACCTGAAAAATGGGATTTCGTGGATGCGCAATATCTGAAAACTCGAGGATTTGCCGCAGGGATTTATTGTAGTCAGAAATCCCTGACATTCAAACACTTTTTAACATTTCTCCCTGACGCAAATTTGACCACTAAAATCCCGGACATGTTAGGGAAAAATATGGCGTATAGCAGGGATGGCGAACCACTGACCCGCGGGTCACAAACTGACCCATCGCGTTTTATTCGTGACCCGCCAAGGCACGAATAAAATAAAAAAAAATGCTAACATATCAGTGATAAAACCGGCCCTAAATCAATCTAACAATTACTAAACTATTATAATGTGCCGCCAGTTGGGCAGTCAGGGCTGGGATGGCTTATATTCAAATTGTTAATTTCCAGTGAGGTAATTTTTAAAATCCTAATATTGGACGAATAACTGCACCGCTGTGTGCCCTTATTCAGCTATTAGCTCTGACATCGTTTACGACATAACAATGCAATTGATGTTCATTTCTCGCAACGGGTTGTCTCTTTCAGAAGTGCATCTGCAGACTGTTTTAGGGGTTATACCAAAACTAGATGCTACATTGCATTTTATCAGTTTCTCGCCTACAATGCCGTTGCGAACACTGAAATAGAGAGACTTGAAATAAAAACCTAGATATTTGGAATACCAATGGGGAAGTGTAAAAGTGCTTTTAATATGGTTAAAGCTGATGGATAAATATAACACTATCAAAGTGGCATCCCTCCAAACTCTTTGGAACCGTAAAATAATTTGCCGCATCATCCTAAACGTTATTCATATGCGTGTTTTGGTACTCTAATTTCATAAAATCGAGTGCCATAAAAAGTCCCTGATACAAGTGCTGTATAAGTAAAGCCATAAACTACATCAACACAAACAGAACTGTTGTATCATGATTTGTTTCAGAAGTTTTTTTTTATAGATACAAACATTGATTAAATATCTGTCACCCACTCTCTTCTGTTCCGCGATAAAAATATAATTTTTGACCCATTCATTGAAAAAGGATGGCCATCCCTGGCGTATGGCAACCCTATCGTAACAGGAGCAACCCGAAAGATGAAACCAGAAGTTCGTGTATTTCTTCGAAAGTTACAAAATACAAACCCAATGTAAAATCTCTATCAGCGGTAATGCATCTGCAGAAGTTTCACTGATATTGAATAGGAAAAGTAATCGGTCTTTGTCGGAGTGATATTTTTCTGAATAGTGAAGTTTGTACATGTTTACAAGGTTTGTTATTGTGCATTTTTGCTTTGAAAGTAGCAAAGAATTGTTTTTAATTTCGGTTGGCACGCGGAAGAATTTTGTCGTTAAATTTAGCCGATTTTGGCACGCGAGCCGAAAATTCTAGGGTATAGGGGGATGCAATGTTTATTGTTGGTGGGCCATATAACCAACCGCAGACATCTGGCTGAGTCACACAAAAAATTGTTTTTCCCTGTGTACAATGAATTAAATATCAGCGATAATCAAAATTGAAACGGCAAGAGAAGAGAATGCGACTATTGCTTGCCTTCCAGTAAAAAAGACACCGAACAAAAGTGCGAAAGATTCAACGCAGCGAGAAGAGCAAAAATCCTTACGTATTTTTACACATGTGATGCTAGGTGGAGGAAAATCTGAGTGTGGACAAGGGCCACACTAATATTGTGGCCCGCGGGCCGCATGTTGCACACCCCTTATCTAGGGTAAGCAGTGAATGAATACACATTCCACTTTTGTAAATCTTTCACTAGGGTTGTCAAATAGCAAACACGCTATGATAGTAATTTCATTTTATATAAAAGGTTATTTTGTTCGATTCTTATGCATTGCAACAACAATTAGATTACGCAAATAGAAAAGCGAAATGGTCAAAACTGTATACTTGCTAATTGTATCGGAATTGCATTATACTCCGCTTTAAGGTGTGCAAAATTTTCGACCTTCCCGCAAAGAAAACTCCTGAGGCCTAAAATTCTATGTCCTCCACATTTTAGTTGATACATTTGAACTGGTATAAGAAATCTTTAAGATATTGTTTAGAATTTAAATCAAGGGTGGAGAGGTTTTTAGACCAGGGGTCAAAAGTTGTGCCCACATAAACTGGCGGGCCATGTAAGCGTGACGTAAAAAGTCATATTTTATGAACAAAATTTCATTTACAATGTCACAAAAGCAAAAGTGGGAAACAATAAGCCTCGTGCCAAAAATAAATTTAATCGCAATCTCAACAAATTACTTGAGCTAAAACATCAATTTGGTTTGATAGTGGTAGCATCAGGCGGACTGATTCGACCCGCGGGCCGTCCTATGCCCATGTTAGATTTAGATCAACGTTTCCCAACTGGGTGGAAATTCCTTCTAAAGGAGAAATTTTTGCCAATTCTTTTACGAAGATGCGAGAAATTGCCAGGTTACCAATGTTGAGTGCCAGTTATTATAGGATGTGTCAAGATATGATTTTGTCACCAATCTTGGCAAAATTGCGAATAAATAGTTGTCATTTTCACAAAAAGTCGTCTGCAAATAGCCATTAATTTTGGCACAAGGCTCTTGATATCTGGTAGGTGGCGCTCGAGCATCACTCAGATCAGCGTTAATTGATTTTCTTATGAATTGTAACCTATTCAGATACAGCTCATTTAAATACACAGCGGCGTCTTTACATCTCCATTTTTTGCCGTAAATAGCAGTGGCTCAAGAGGATGTTTTGGAAAGCTTGCTCAAAGCAATGTTTCGAGGCCCTAAATGAAGTGAGAGACTCACTGATTGAAGTCATTCGCGACCGCGTCATCAACAATCTATTAAAACAGAGATAACAGTAAAATATATTTATCTAGGAACTTGAAAACTTTTTAAATTTGAATTTATATTGTCATTAGAAAGAATCTTTATGACGCCATCTCGACACCTTCACCCGCAGTCACGATTCAATGCTCAATAACCTTCCAGGTGCCTCATCGGTTTCACACAAGAGAGAGAGAGAGGTTCATTTCATTTTGTCAAACCAAGAAAACAATTGGACTGGGGATATTCTCGAAGTATGTGAACCAAGATGGCGGACACCGGAACGTAGTATATATACCTGGTTAGGGTTGGGCCATAATTTCAGGTACAAATACTACGCGGGTCACTTGGCTAGTCCCCGTACGAGGACTAAAATAGGGAAAATTGGAATAGAATTATGGCCTAACCTGGTACACATACTACGTTCACTATCCACTTCACGTGTCCACTGTCTTGGCTCACATACTTCGGGAGTACCAGACTGGAAGGCAACGATAGGACCTTCATTGGTCACAATAATGATGGTGTGATTAATATGCAACAATGATACTTAGGAGAGAAATACAGTCAATTACATTTCATATAACAATACTGCTAAATATATGTTTTGTTTAGTCTAAATGTCGCATAATCTAAATGTTATATTCTACATAAATGTGATTTTTCATATGCATTTATATTCTGGCACGAACATTCTGGCAAAGAAATTTGCACCCGTAAGACTGCCTGTTAACAGTACTAGCTGAAGATTACAAGTTCAATTTCTTAAAGATTCTATAGCGTTCATTTCAACATCAGAAAACAAACAATGACGTGTCATCATATACCTGAGTCATATTCTAATTTCCTCAAGGGAATGCTTATTAATTGTTTGATGCGCTATATTCTTTTACTTCTTTAAATTTAGGTTAGATATGTCGATGTGTAGAGATATAAATAAATTTGCGAAGTGTAGTTCTAATTCAGTTGTGTAAAACTGCACTGAGTACTTTGCGACGCTGCTCATGCGACGCTGATTCACGTCTATCGCCCGGAAGCGCAATATACAAGAGACCATTGATCTTGAATGATATGTGAGAAGCTGCTACAGGATGTTG